CAGAGTGTTCCCGCTCCTTCCTCTGCTTGCTGCGGCTGTCCCACACTAGCCCCTGGAACTGGCAGAGTGGGGGGAGGAGGGGACAAGAGATTCTCTCACGCTTTCAAGATGCATTAGTTATGCAAGAGGTTTCCAAATGTGGATTTTCTCAGACTGAGGCTGCCCTAATGGGGCAGCACAGAGCAGTATCCTGCGGCTCATGAAACATTTACAGGGACCTTGCCAACTGGATCAGGGCTCCATAGCACCCAGCACTTAATACTCAAGGCTGCTCCGATGAGCCACAGAGCTCTGCTCTGCACTACGGTTTGAAGGAGTAACACGGAGCCTGCCAACTAGTTCAGTTTCATCTCCCCTGGCACTGAAGAATCCAGATGTCAAGTGTATTGGGCCAGATTACTCAGCAACCCATTAAGCCTCTTAAGGGGCTAAGCAAAAATCCATTGCAAGCCTGTAGGTGGAGGATTGAATTCCTATCACCGTAAGTTCCCTGTAGCAACCATCCCTATATTGTCTACCAGGCTTCTTCTGTTGTATCCTTTCTGTGCGTGCAGCCTTTAAAGGTTAGTTGGGCTCTGAGTACATTCTTTTGTTTTCTTTACAGCTGGCGGGCTGCTCAAGATACCATCAGCATTTCTAAAATCCCTGATCCCCCAAGTATGAATTCTCCAGTGTGTCTTCAAGAGACAAAACACAGCTCAAACAATCCTTAGCCAAATCAGCCACAAGATTTCTACAAGCACTAAAACATCCCACAATATGGACATCTCTGCACTGGGAGAGCATTGACAGCTGCCTGTGCTGTGGCACACTGGCAGCAATGTACATGTGGCTTAGCCACTGTGGCAGTTCCAAGTTGAGAGATCAGATGATGTGTTAAGAGCTCTTAACAAGCTTCAGAGAACACTCTATAATGCCATATTAACCAAGCAGATTTACATAGCTGCAGTCTCTCATCAGCTAGACTTGGGTATAGGGCCAGTCCTTACCCAGAACTCAACAAAAACATGGCCCTGAGTAATGGGGACATGTTCTTCTCTAATGTTAGAGTGAAAGAGACGAAAAACAGACACAGACTGGTAGAAAACGTTAAAAGCTTGACCCCTTTACTGCCTTGCAGCTCACAGATACAATCTTTTGGAAAGAACTAATTCCTGAGGTCATGTAAAGGGTTACATAAATGTGTTCTCATCTGCCTGCCTTACAGTTGTCCCATTCTACCTCCCACCAACTGCAAATCTTGCTGGCAGCATTAGCTTCAACCAACTCACCTAGCCCAGCTATAGGGCAGATGTAGTAATGGAAGGCAACAAAGAGGATTAGGGTCTAATTGCAGCCATGCACAGAAGTGGAATTGTTTATTTGTCCCACAAGATTTCAGGCAAAAGTGAGCATGTTTTATAAGTTTGTTGGGCCTTACATACGTGTCTAACAAGCTAGAGCTTGCAACAACAGTTTCAGTGCAAATTGCATCAAGACTACTTAACAGTTTCAAACTTGCCTAATACATGCAATGAGTTTAGAAACACTGATTTTCAATAAGAATCCAGATTCAGCACAAGTGGCGTAGCTCATTATATTAGTTTAAGTTCTATGACTAACTCTTGGAAGCTTTTACATTTTGAAAGCCATTTGTCAGGGCAGTGTGTAGAAATTAAGTGAAAGACAATTAAGATTTATATCCACAGGAAAAACTTTAAAAGCCAAACGCATGTTGTAATTTAAGAACAGAAATGGTGAGTTAATGCCACCTTGTGGGAAGTAATCTGCACTACCTCTGTCCAAACTTGTACAAAAACTACATATTTGGGTCAATGCTGACTTCAACTTCAAATATCCCGAAGAGTTTGTTTTTACTTGATCTGAAACTAGTTTTATTTTTTTGATCTCCCAGGAAACTAAAATAAACAGTTATTGGCACAGATCTAATTTGCATCACCATACTGTATATTTTGAGTCTGTCCATACAGCCAGCTTTCCAGATATCCCATGAATTTCATGGCTGTGAAAGATCCACTCTGCCTTGCCTGCCCACCTCAACCCAACAGACTCCAGAGGTAAGACAGTTTAGTCACCACAGACCAGTCAGTTCTTGACCTCTCAAACACTATTAAAGACAGGTCTGATAACTATTGGTTTGTCTGATGTGGACTAAGGATGTGAAAGTGTAAACATATACATGGTTAACCGATGAGCCCTTCACAGCACATGTAGTACCCCCTCTTCCCCCTGTGCTGCTGCCTGAGGCAGCAGGGCGGGAGCTGGGGACAGGTGGCAGGCAGTGCTCACGGGGAGCTAGCTTTTAAGCCAGCTCCCAGGGAACCACTCCACCCCCACCATGCTGCTGCTTCTGTATTAGAGGGAGCAGTGCACTCCACAGGAGCTGCCTTGCACAGGGAGCCTGCTTAAAGTCAATTACCAGGGAGCCACCTCCCTCCATGTGTAAACTATTTCAGCAGTTACACGTTTACATAAACAAACACATTTTAACATCCCTAATGTGGACACTTGTCAATTAGGACTTGAACATAAAAACTGCCATACTGGGTCAGACCAAAGGTCCATCTAGCCCAGTATCTTGTCTTCCAACAGTGGTCAATGCCAGACACCCAATAGGGAGTGAACAGAACAATCAAGTGATCCCTCTTCTGTCATCCAATAGGGAGTGAACAGAACAGACAATCAAGTGATCCCTCTTCTGTCATCCATTTCCAGCTTCTGACAGAGGCTAGGGACACCATTTCTAACCATCGTGGCTAATAAGTATTGATGACCTAACCTCCATGAATTTCTCTCATTCTTTTTGAATCCTGTTAAAAGTCCTGCTCTTCACAACATCCTCTGGCAAGGCGTTCCATAGGCTGACTCTGTGCTGCATACTTCTCTTTGTTTTAAACCTGCTTCCTATTAATTTTATTTGGTGACCCATTTCTTACGTTATGGGAATAAGTAAATAACTTTCCCTTATTCACTCTCTCCATACCGGTCACAATTTTATAGACCTCTATCATATCCCTCCTTAGTCTTCTCTTTTCTAAGGAAGATGATAGAAACCAAACCATTTTATGCACAAGGACACCAACCAGTAACAAGTTTTGATCAATACTTAGCCCTCAAGATGAAGGGCTCTCAAACCTATTCCCATAAACAGTGCGATAAACAGAATCTTTTAATAGTAGGACTAATGCTCAGCAGCTTAAGTCAGATCAGTGCCCCTGGTGCCACACACTAAAACAGTGTCCCAAAGAGCTGCACCACACTACTGTTGATGTTCACACCATTATGGTTCATGTGCCCAAGGACATCCTGACAGCCTTACTCCAAATTAAAGAACTACTTGTACCTGGGACTAGAAATGAGAGCTCTGAGCTAATGTGAAGGCAGTATGTGTGCACACACTGGTAGGCTACCACATCTCAGAGAGTGCGCACTCTTGGAAGTAAGGAGGCGGGAAATGAGCTGAGAACATAGATCCAAATCAGTCTAGAGAAACAAGCAATTTCTTTACACAAAGAATAAATGGACACAAGACAGACATCAAGAATGGTAACATTTAGAAACCAGTAGAAGAGCACGTCAATCTCACCGGACACTCAGTAACAGACTTGAAAGTCGCCATACTTGAGTGAAAAAACTTCCAAACCGATTTCAGCATGAAACTGCAGAGCTGGAATTCGTATGCAAACTTGACTCTCAGACCAGGTCAGAGTAGAGAGTGGGAATGGTTAGCTCAGTACAAAAGGAAAAGTAATTTTCCCTCTTTTGGTATTCTCACCTTCTCATCAATTGTTGGGAGTGGGCCACACCCACCCTGACTGAACTGGCCTCCTTAGCACTGGTCCTCCTGGGTATGCCTACACTACAGCCCTCCTTAGCACTGGTCCTCCACAAAGTAGTGCAACACATCCACCTTTGCATGTGTATACAGGTGTATATACACACACACACACACCTGCTAAACTGAAATTACAAATGCATGAAGTGGAAAAGTGGATTCCAGCCCACAAAAGCTTACCCTGCTAAACTGAAATTACCAGATGCATGAAGTGGAAAAGTGGATTCTAGCCCACAAAAGCTTATGTCCAAGTAAATTTGTTAATCTTTAAGGTGTCAGACTTCCTTGATGCTTTTGCTGAAACAAGTTAACCTGGCCACAATTTCAAGCTCTCACCTAGGCAAAGCTGTCTGCTCAAGTGATGCTGTTCATATCCTAGAACTCATGAGTAGTGAAGCTTAGCGTGTCTGACACAGGAAAGAACAAAAGTAAGAGAAAATAGTTGTTTCATTGCACAGCACAAGGCTACCACTCGCCTTACATGTAATGCCTACGGAGACGGCAGTTCCATCACTTTCCCTCCTGATCTTTCCAGTAGATTAAATGCTGATGCTTTTAAGGTAGCAGCAGTTCATCTGCTCTGCTTTCAGAATGCAAAATTTTAGCCCAATTTACTCAGAATGTTGAGAGAGATTTAAGCAACGCCTGGGGTGAAGCCTGCTAATCTGTGCCCATCAGAAGGGTGCCAGTGCACAACGGTCCTGTCTATAGCTACTTTATCAAGGTGTGAGAAGGAGCTTTTCTAGACCAGTGTGAAAGGTGTCTCTGCAAGCTATAGCAGTGACGGGGGAAACAAAACCTTTTTTCCATTTTCCTTAAAGGGAAAAAGGAACCCTGGGGGATTTATAGAAATTGACAAGAGGTTCAAATACCAGAACGCAAGATTCCTTCTGCATGGCCATGCTGAATGCACCCCAATCCTACAGTCTCCCTATTAGTCTTCAACCACCTCTGTGTGATTAAGTTGCTCTGCAAAGGTGCAAGGGAAGAGCAATGATTTCAGGTATCACTTAGCACAGCATACCCTATCACAATCCTGCAGTCACACCTTTGCCTGTGCTAATGCTGGTCCAATGTCACCAACATGGAGAGGTTCATGAAATAACTTCAGCTCCCCCACCGAGCCAACAGTGGCACTTTGCCATGAACACTCATGACAGCCAACTCCATTTACATAATATTTATTTGGCTCTGTTTTAACAGTTCGGAAAACAAGTGTTTGTACAGTGCTTACAGCAATGCCCATCTTGCCACCGTCACACTGAAGAGATTCACACAGATCCACCCCGTGGAAGACATCCAAGACATCTCCATCTCCATTCTACGGGGGGCACAGCCTAGAAACGGAGCCAGTACATGGCGCTGCGGATCCGGTTGTAGTCTGGGAGCTGTTCAATGGGACCTAAGTGAGAGAGGAGAATTAGTCACTGAAATAAAATAAGGAGTCCCAATGTAAGTGTCTCAATTCTACTGCTCTCTGATCCAGTGATGCCACCCAGACTCAAATCCTTACAGGGGAACCGTGGTCTGCCAGTAGAAAGAAACAAGTCTTCAATAGGCTAGTGGGAATTAATACATCTTCCTCTTTGCCTTGAAATCCCTTTTACTAATAGCGCCACTTTAAAGGCTCATACAAAATCTTGGAGATCACTGTGTGGAGGAAGGGAAACCACCAGACACTTAAGGAAGAAAAGCTGCTTGGGCAAGTTTCCCAAGGGGAACATCTCCTTGGCTGACTGACAGACATGCCAGAGAGCTCTGCAAGGACTTAAACCCACTGATTCTTACATTAACAGATGCCATCAGAGTAGAGATGACATTTGGAGAGCACTGTTACAGTCCTCACCCACAGATTGAAGTTCCATTGTTAATCACATCCCTGTAGCCTTTAGCTGGTCGGGAAGCTGGTCAGCAGCCCAAAGCTATTGCCGTAGCATCTATGCCTAATTACATTTTCAGAACATACTCTCTAGGGAACGTTTCAGCACATCTGACACACAACAGCTGGGAAAACAGTAGTGATGTTACCAGGAGGGTAAATTAGAGGTAGAGAGAAGCCAAAACAAACAGCAAAATAAGGATGTAAAAGGTTAACCTGTTACCTGGTATGCATTAGACTTATTACTTTTCCCAAACTCCAGTGGATAGCCAGCTGCCCCAGGTCAGAGCAGGTTTGGCAGCATTGGGCCAGTAGGCAGGGCCACAGCCATACCAAAGCAGCCCCTGCAACACCTGCTCCACAGACCCAGTGGAACTCCACACTGGCTGCCCCAGCCCACTAATGGTTAAAGTTACATTGTTTAACTGGTTAACTATTTATCTGACCTTACTACAAAACATGCAGAAAACTGCCAGAGACCAAATAGACACTTTGCTCTCCATTAAAAACAGAGACTCACCTATGTTGGCTGTTTTTCAACTTCAGTGCCTATAACCAGGTCACTTACCTATTGCTGCCACTGCTGGGCATTTGTCATAGATGTATTTGCTGCAGACATCCCGTACCATTCTGGAATCCACAGCCTAACAGGAATGATCAAGAGCAGGCAAGGAGTCAATTCCTCTTTAAGAATATGAACAACCTATGTCAGTCTCTCATGTTGTGCATTAGATGTAGTGCTACAGAAGTACCAGAGATTGTACACACACAGAGCCAGGAAATAAAACCCTTTTTCATATGGTCTAGTGGCGGGGGCGCTTTGTGGAAGATCCACTGAAACATCTGTTAAAGAACGCTTCTCTCCCACTATTACTCTAATGCTGCCATCTCAAAGCCAAATGAATAAGCAAAGGAGAACTTAATGAATCAGCTTTCTGATAGTCAGTGAAATATTATGGGTGGAATCTCTTCTAGTTCAGGCTTCTGATTAGAGGTTTACTGACATACTTAGTGAGACCTTTCTGGCTGTAGTTATACCCTGGCATTCTCATAGGAGGTGAATTAACTCAAATAAGCTCAAATCACTAATGCTTCGCTCAAGTCACTTAATATGGTTATATGTTGTAGCACTAATCTACAAGGGATGAACCAGCATCTAAATGTGGGGTACAGGAAGGTAGTGTGACAACACAACACCACGAATATGGCCCTAGGTTTGGTGCTCCCACTATACACATATATTTCAGTTATGCAACAATAGTCTGCCTTTGACTCACAAGGATAAAGTCTAATTAACCAGGTAACTGCTTTAGATGCCCAATTTCTCAGCAGCAGGTTTTATGCTGGAGTAAGTTTAGGAATATTCCAGTAAAAACAGATACGCACAGCAATTCTGGCATCCCATTCAGCCAGAGATATACGGCGTCCATAGTTCAAGAGATTACTCCCAATATTTTCACATACAGGTGTAGTACCTGGGAAAGATGCAGAGTCATTAGGAAAGTTCATGTTTTTGACCAAGATAGTGCCAGGTCTTCCAGCATGTCATAGCATGGTCACCAGTTTGGATAAAAGTATGCACACAGCCAATACCACTAATCAGTTTCCAACAAACCAGCAACCACATGCTCCTTTAGTAGACCATCCCAGGAAGCTCCAATGAGGATTACAGAAATGCATTATGACTTCACCTCTGGAAACCATGGTACACACCTGACTTGGATCATAACAAAAACCAGTTTGATGGTCTCAACTTTGCCCTTAGCAGGCATCACAAGGGGTGGTGCCTGATTTGTTTTGGCACTGCCACCGTTGCTAAGGAAAGGCTCAGGGACAGCATGGCATATTAAACTAGAAAAACTGAGGTGGCATTCTAGGACAGAAACAGGGGATACACAAGATCAGGGCAGAAGAGCAACTTTATACACTGCCTGCCAGTAGCTCTTTGCTTCTAGTCAGAGGTCCTCCTTTCCAGGAGGGCCAGAACTTAAGAGCTATTCAAACACATGCAAAGCAGCTATCCCCTAGATCAGAACGTACCATCCAGCTGAGCCACCAGCGCATTCCGTAGGATATTCTTGGCTCTCTTCACCTCCCCATCTGTCGCACTCGTGCACAGACGCATCCTGAACAGGAGTCAGAGAGGAAATAAGAGGCTTTCAAAGACCTTCTACTAGTAGAAGATGAGAAGCAATTACCTCCCCACACATTCATTTTTAACACTGCCCCTTGATTTTCAACTTCTTACACAAACTAAATATTAGGGATGTAAAAAAGTTAAAATTAGTACCTGTGTAGCTGATTACAATTCAAATCTGTCACACCATTACATTCTGCCAGCCCCACGGGTTCCCAGCACCGCCAGCCCAGGAGTTTAACTGTTAACTGGAACCAGTTAAACTCTTACAACTGAATACTAGGTCTCAACCCTCTTGGTACTAACCAATACACCAAGCCATAACCTTCCCCACGTATTGTTCAGTGGCTATGAACTCAGCAATGGTTTGCACAGAAAACTGACTGGCTCAAGCTCAATGAAAGTCTCCTCAGAGCACACACTGGAGGGGGGGAAGCTGAGGGGGGCAGAGGGTGATAAATACCTTACGTGAGCAGTCACAATTGGGAGCACCTCAATGGCATCTGTGTCACTTCAACGTGGCAGCTACAACTAAGATAGCAAAGGGACTAGGGCATGCTGCCAACTGACAGTTCGCCACTGCTCGGGGATTCCAATTCCTGAGGTTTCTGCACAGTTTGGAAGGTTTCCTACCAGTCTTACTTCCCTTTCTCCCACCCAGAGTCTCTTGGCTATTTCAGTGGTTAGCTCCTGGGGACAAGTAGTATTTCCTGTCCATGTTTTGCAGTTCCTAGCACAGGGGCTTGCCGATTTCGGTTGTCACCTATAGGCACTGCTGGACAACACATCAAACTCTAAGAAGGCTAAATGATAATGTGAAGTCCCTGTAACCCTAGCACTGAATGGTTCCCAACACCAAAGCATTTACCAGTCAGTTGAGAGGACTGAGTCCAAGCATTATGTATGGCCGGGTCATCTTTCCTAAGTGTAATAAGGTAATGGTCAGATTGTCTTTCCCATAGCATGTGAAAGGCACAACCTTGCTTGGGAATAAGAGGCCCAACACTAGAACAACCTCTAGCACACCCTAACAAACAGGGACCACCACCATCATTCAGAGATGTCAGGGGAAGGAGGATTCAGGTGGGATATCAAGAGTCGTTTCTCTTCTAGTCCGAGGAGTTTCTTCCCAAGGGAAGTTGTGGAAGTCCCACAGCTAAGGATTAACATGAGATAGACTCTAGAAAGCAGGACCCTTCTTGACCATTCACGATCTTGAACTCTGTAGGACAGAAGTTCTCTACTAGATACAGCGTTCATAACAGGAAGTGACCACAATCACTCACTGGCAAGTCACACTCACCACTCTCCCTGTGCAAAATGCAGCGTATCTTCTACGTTCATAGTCTCAGAAACAAAATGGAGCCCAAAGAGGCCTGTGTCAGAGTAGCAAGTGTTGAAGGTCTGGAAACTGTGACAGAGCTTATTCTCTGTAGCAATTGTAGCCAGCCTGCTGGATTGATTCTGCACAGAAATAAACATCCTCGCTGATTCAACTGCTCACCTTTCCCCGACAGTTCAAATCCTCCCTCCCCGGCCCCAGTGGTTACAGGGTCAGAAGAGCAAACAGGGTAGAGAGCATGACAGGATGCCATGTAAGAGCTCATCTCGGGGGCAGTCCCTTCAACATACTGCATTTGTAAGATGTGCTGCATCATAGGGGTTCATATTACCCTGCCCTGCTGAAGTACTGCCACGTCTAAATGAACATTTTGTCTCTGCATCACAGGACAAGTTTAAGGAAGGGATACTTAAGACAGAACACTCAGATCATCTTGCTGGAAATTGCCCTGCTCAGTCCTCCTCCAGATCAGCTGAGGATCTGCCATGCAGTGATCCCCTCCTAGAAAGCTGCAGATAGCTTTCTCCAGAGAGGGCCAGAACAACCTCCTAGTCACACTCCATCCAGCCCAAGAGGTATCCCAGATCAGCCCTAGTAGAACCCTGCCTTCTGGATTCATAGCCAAACCCCATTTCATGGGAACATTTCAGAATTCAATATACAAGGGGATGTCTACACTAGACTCCTAGTTCAAACTAGGGAGGCTAATGTAGGCATTCGAAGTTGCCGCATCTACACGTGGCAGGGACCCAGTAGTTCGAATTATCTGTTAAACCTCATTCCAGGAGGAACAACAGGTAGTTCGAACTAGGGCTTTAATTCGAACTACCAGGTCCCTGCCGCGTGTAGACGCAGGCAGTTAGTCCGGACTTGTAAATTTCAAAAAATGGCAACCATCCGGGAAGATGCAAATCAAGCGCAGGATATTTAAATCCCGGGCTTGATTTGCAACTTGGAATGCCTACATTAGCCTCCCTAATTCGCACTACGGGGCTAGCGTAGACATACCCCTATATACTTGAGAGTCTGTCTGAGCGAGTGAGCCTGTCAGTCTGTCTGAGAACTCTTAAACAGTAAGAGCTAGGACAGGTCTGGGCTACAGGCGGCCCAGGGGCTGGATTCAGCCCCCCTAACACTTGCACCCAGCCCGGCCCTCAGACTGTATCTGGCCACTTTCTATTTATATCCTGCTGTCTGTGCCACCGAATTTCCAGGCAGTGGCTCAGGCGGCAGTTGCAGCGCTACTCTCGCAGGGACTGGAGCCGCAAGCCCTTTAAATTGCTGCAGCAACCCAGGCAGCTTCCAGGCAACAAGGGCTGGGAGCCACGAGCCCTTTGCTGGGTTTTTAATTCAAAGCCTCCAGCCCCAGACAACTCTGAGGGGAGGCTAGTCCCCAGTCCTGCCCCTTTCATCTCAGGTCCTGCCCCTTCCAGGGATGGAGCTGGCCCTTGACTAAGTGCCAAAATTCATTAAGTGGCTCCCATGTGAAAATTATTGCCCACCCCGAGCTAGGACCACCAAACTTGGTATGCAGCTTTCTCTGATCATAACTTAAGCAAGGTAAGGGTTCAGTTGTACAGGGAGAGAGGAGGGGGCTGAAGCTCCCCTACCCCCATGTGAATGGGGATGCATAAAACAATACAGAAAAGAGAGAGAATCCCCAGGCAGATGAAAGGGGTTGGCTGGGGACACCCCTTCCCCTCCTCCCTCCGGTCTGGGACTGCCCCAGCCCCGAGCATCCCACTCCCCAGGCACCCTTTAGGGAGGGCAGGGGAAACCTTCCCCCTCCCTTATTTGTATAGAGACACTGCTGGCTGTTTCACTTTGTCAGGAAGCGAGGGGAAGTACACAGCTGGCTTCACTCCTCATACTGCCTGGGGAACGCAGGAGCAGACAAACCTGGATCTCCCCTAGTTGGGGGACATGCACCCCTCTCCCAGCTGTGCCCTATGGATCTGCAGTGGCCATGGAGAGGTGGCTTCTCATCTGGTTCCAAACTGCTAGAGTGAGAAAGGGCTGGGCTAGTCCTCTCTCCTCAGGGCAGCTGACATATTCAACCCTTCATCCCCACCCCAGAGCAACGATTTAAGTGAAGAAAAACAAAAAATGAGTTAAGGACCTGAGCAAAACCAGGTAAATCTTCTGGTATTATATACAGCAATGTTCAGGCACTATAGCTACTTACTCATGCCATGCTCCCAAGTCTCTTACCTTACCACCTCCAAAGGTGCGGTCATAGCGCCCTATGATTGAGTTAGCTATAAGGAGGGCAACGTTGTCTGGATTAGACCATCCCGGCCCTTCCACTGCAATAGCAACATGAGCCAAGGGTAAGGCATCATCTCTGACACGGATCTGAAAAACATCAAGGGGCATGGCAAGAGCACAGTGAGCGCTGTGGCCTTCTCTCCAGAGCCTTGTGCAAAGCAGGGGTTGATAAAATTGGGGATCTGGTGCTGATATGGACAGAGACAGCTAGTCTGTCATCTGCAAGTAACGTACCCATCATGTTACCAGATGCGTCTGGTTTCTAGACTCCACTGGGTCACAAATGAATGTACTAGCCTCAGCAAGTTCCTAATGGATTTACAACCAAAGTATCACAAGCCTGGCAGAGCTGTGTAGGGTCTTAAGACTAGACAGCAGGACCTGCTGTAAGTCAGGACTGAGGTGCCATCCGCTCATATAAAGAACTAACCTACAAGCATCCCCTAAGCGATCAGGAACTCAGTTCACAAATGTACGCTTTGTACTCAAAGCAATTGGCTGTTGACAAGAATTTACCTCACTCCCAGTGAAACGGCAGGGCAGGAGGACAGGCACGGCATCCTCCTTGTACTGAAAGGGAATTGCACTCAAGTGCTGCCTGGCAAGATCTACCAGCTCATCGTGGGAAACACCTGGGAAGAGGAACAGAAGGAAAAACATCAGTACAGATGCCTGAGCCTCTGAAACAAAGAAAAAACGAATGTTATGTACTATGAGAGAAAGCCCACTGGAATCTAAAATTCAATGTTAACATACCAAGATTTCCTAGAGCATGGTTTCTCAAATGTGGCCACCATAGCTACCTTCAGCAATCAGAGGTTTTTCTTGTGGCCACAGCCTCCTGGGCAGTGATGGGGGAGGGAGGAGAAGGGACATGCATGGAAGCCGCAACCCTTCCCCAGAGCTGCCAACAGGGAGTAAGTCCTGCCCCCCCTTTAGAACCAGAGAGGCTAGGCTAGAGAAACAGACAACTGGTGTGAGTTCCACATCTGGGGGGGGGGGGGGGAGGGGAGGAAGAGCTGGGCTGCCAGCCCCAGCCCAATGGCAGTGAGCTCCAGCTCCCACCTCACTACTAACCCTGCTGCCTTCTACAGCCCTGGGCTCCGGCCATCTGGCAGTGGGCTCCATTCCCCACTGGCTCTGGACACAGGGCCTCAGGATCCAGCCCCAGCAGCATTGCCAGCCCAGGTTCACTACCCCTTGTCCATTGCTCCTGGGCCTCCTCCATCTCCACCCTCACCGCGCCCCCACCATTCCTTGCTCCCACTGCATTCTTCAGACACATGGCGGCAGCTCTGGTCCCAAGCTCCAGAGCTTTGGGTGCCAGTGGGGGCTCCATCGCTCTGGCTCTCCCCTCCATCACTTCTGGTCCCTGCTGTCTCCTCCAGCCTCTCTTCCCCATCCATCACCTTCAGCCCCCACTGCATCTCTCCCCGCCTCTCCATCCAGGGCTTAATCCCCCTCCCCCCGCCCCACGTGCTGGGGCTGAGTAAATCAGCACTGAAAATGATACTTGTAAGTGTGTTAATATCACTTTTCACTACTTCCCACCCTACTAACAAGTCTGCTTCTGTGAAAAATGATATAAAACAATCATATAAATATCAGCTTTTCACAGCAGTAGACTTGGTAGCTAGCAAACAATAAAAACAGACAAAGCAAAAGGCACAACAAAAGACAAGAACATGTAAAGCATCTTAGTTGTGTTTCTATTTTGTTTAGGTCCAGTAAGGGAGACAGACCATTTTTATTATTGAGTTTGCCTCAACAATGCTTTGAACATGTATATGTGCACATTATTTTGTTTTTCCTGAAGTATTTTAAGAAAAAGTGCCAGAGCAGCCACCAGCCAGGCTTGGTGGCTGCACCTGAGACTGCTCAAAAATTTCCTAAGAATCCCTCTCCTAGAGTCCAGGAAATTAGCACTTACCTCCAGCAGCTGCCAGGACCATGCGAGGGGCCTTGTAGTGAGTGTCAATGTATGTAGCTAGATCAGCACGAGTCAGCTTCCTAAAAAGCATACACAACATTTTAATCTCTCAACAATCCAGGTATGGAAAAGAGAGGTTGATAAGAGTATGTATAAGAGAGGGCTATACTCCTGACCTAAATGGTCAATCCCCCTAGTGAGGGCTGAGGCACAATGGTGGAGAATACATGAGAGAAACTTGTGTAGTATTATTCATGCTAGGCCTATCCATGGGCAACATGACTTCAGACTCCAGAACTAATACAGTATCTGTCACCAGCAGTGGGAAGCAGAGTCAAGACAAAAAATGTAAATCTATGATGAACAGATCAGACCCATGTACAGCACCACTTACTGTATGTAAATGGATTCGCTTCCAAGTACTTTGGCTGCTGATGTGCTTTACTAGTACTTTTCACCCTCATGCATGTAGTATTATGCAGCTCCCCTTTTATCAAGGTCAGTGAGCCATAACTGGAACTGTGTGCTCCCAAGAATTAAGTTTATCAGTGGAAGGGGGACCATCCTTGGATGTATATTATACTCCAGACTTAAAATGGGTTTGATGCTCACTTGATGTTCTCAGAAGTTCCCTCGACGGTGTGGCTCAAGGCAGTGCCTTGGAAAGCAGTAGCATGAAGATAATCAAAGATTACATCTGTCAAGTTACTGTCAATTTCTTGCATTTCCTGAAGGATGGTGTTCCGTTGCTTCTCGATCTGAGAATCCTCCAGGCTGCAGTTCTGCACAATGTCAGCCAGAATCTCGACAGCTACAAGACACACATACACACACACTCAGCAATTCCTTTACCTGGCCGCTACAAAATGCAGCAGAAAACTGAAGACAGGTCAAAATTTGGAGAAGAAAAGGGTATGGACAGGAATAAACACTCTGCCAGGACTCTGGAAAAAGCAGAAATGTAGGAGACTAAGATGGGACAGGATATTAGGGATGTTACATTTAGATTTTAATGGCTAGTTGAATAGTCAATGTAATTTGCATTGACTATTCGATTTGTCAATAAGGGCGCCTCCACCTTTGAAGTGCAGCAACAGACCCAGGGCTGATGCTACACTAAGGTGAAAGCACTGCGGGGACTCAAGCAATCTGCCACTGGCCCCGTGATCCCTGCAGCATTTCAAAGAAGCAGCACCACATGGAGCGGGGTCAGCTGGGGACTCTGAGGAGCTGGGATCGGCTGAGGACTCAGTCCCCAGCTGACCCCAGGCTGCACACAGTGTTTCAAAGTGGCAGATCTGGGGCTCCACGTGGAGCTGCTTCCTTGAAGCACCCCCACATCCCTCCCCCTCACTTGCTGCCTCTGATAGAGGCAGCCAGTGGGGGTGGGGGAGCAACTAGTTGACTAGCGTGTCGACTATCCGATAAGCATTTGCTTATTTGATAGTCAACTAGTCGTTCACATCCCTACAGGACATGTGGGGCAAAATGAGTAAGTGTACTAGCTGTTCATCTAGATTCAAAGCTCCATCAGGTCACAACACAGATAAAGTGGAATGGTTTCAACATGTGAAAATTCCCACATTAAAAATAAATCCTCCGTTTGGCAAAACATTTTGCTTTTGAGAGGTATAATAACACTGATACAGAAACTACATAGTTCAGAGGGTCCATACACTGGCAATATAGTGTGGGTTCTCAAAATGGAATAGCTGAGGGTACAGCATGTCAGGAGTAAAACGCATAGGACACGGGCAGAAAGCCTGTTACGTCTATGGTTAGTTATAACCAGTCCTACAGGCCTTGCTATTATAGACAAACAATACTTCCCAGAAGACAGGAACGATAAACTGAAATCTGTATATGGCTACATGGAGCTGCACTGAAAACAGAACCCACAGGAGCTCCACTGAGCTTTTCTGATCTTTAATAACTGAGTTAATGCTATAACAAGAGACATTTAAAATAAGCAACTGTGCGCCCTCAGACTCTATATCAGAGACTTAATAGTTTAATGGTCACACTACCTTTGGGCAGGTCTTTGGACAGGGCTTTCACGAAGTACGCAGTCTGCTCCCGGGAGGTGTAACCGTTGAGGTGAGCACCCATATTCTCCACCTCCTTTTCAAAAGCAGCACAAGGCTGTTTCTTTGTGCCCTAAAAGAAACAAATTTAGCTAGAAACTGGCTAGGTTTTTCCCTGTCAACTAAGGAACCAAATTAATGACACAGATCTTCACACAACTCAGGGATCCACTTTAGAAGTAGCTATGAATAATCAATTTCAATCCCACTGGATACCAATAAGTACTAATGAGGACAAATACAATTTTCAGAAGGCCCTAAAAATGCTGGTCACGATGAAGTGAGACTGATCTCCCAGTGAAAGCTACCATAGTGTCCACTATTAAGCAGGAAGGCCTGCTTGCACTAAAAAAGTGTTGCTCAGCAAATAGTGCTTTATCAGAAAGGCTATAGACTCTCAGCTATGAAGAAAGTTCTGTTATTTATAGTACTGTTCATTTAATATGGGCTCAATATGAATACAAGTTAAACCTCCCAGGTCCAGGCCATGGATGCTGCTGGACCAGTGTGTCCCTGTACCCCAGATCCCCAGCTGCAGAGCTTGTCAGCAACTGGGAACTGAACAAGTCTGGTGGCCAACAGCCTGCAGGCCCAGTGAAGCCCCACTGGGGGAGGGGGACCAGCAGCTGGGAGGGGAGCCCTGGGAGAGCCCAGAAGCCTAACCTCCCCTGGTCCAGCAAACTCCCTTGTTCTGGACTGCTCAGGTCCCGAGGGTGCCGGAACAGAGAGATCCAACTTGTCTAAGTTCTCAATACAAGCGCGTCCTGTAAATGAGTTACTGCAAGATCAGTAGTGTCTCCAACTTGTCATGTATTCAAATTTTGAGCAGCATTTTGCTTTGCTAGTCATGTAGTTTGCAGCGAAGGAGAGTGCTTCATTTTTCGTAGTTTTCATATTATATGCATCATATATGCACTTAAGGGATTTTAAAATGTGTTTATTTTGGTAAACGTGTACTGCTAAAATTTGCATCAGGTACACATTTACATGCATGGGGTCGAGGCAGCTCCACAGGAGCCACTGCATGCAGGGAGTTGGCTTTTAATCCAACTCCCTGCGCATACCAGCTCCTGCAGAGCTGCCTGCCCCCCAACCGCTGCCGCTGTTTCAGAGGCAGCAGTGCCAGGGGTAGGGAGGGAGACAGTTACACTATCACTCAATTCTATGTAAATATTAGGGGTAAATAAATTAGTGTTTTTGTTTTAAACAGAAGCTGAAAGTTTGGGGTTTTTTTTTTTTTTACATAAAGTGCATTGTTTAAAATACTTTCCTGAACAGTTCTTCTACGCAATCGTCAGTCACAAGGACCTCTGCACAGTCTCCTTGCATTCAGCACTGCCATTGATTTTAATGCCACTGACTGGTCAGTCCCCTGCTTAGAGCCAGTTAATACCATTCCATGACTAGCATGGGAAACACTAGAGAATTTGGCACAAATTCCCTGGGCAGTGGCAAGAACAGAGTTCCTTGAACACGGACTAAAAGTCAATACAAAGATTCAGGGCACATTCACAGATAAAATGTCTTTTTACATAGAGGGCAGCTTGAGCTTTTATTGTGCCCTTATAGGTACCTAAAACAGCCTCTTATTTGTATTACAATGGAATCCAGAGGCCCAGATTAGGACTGGGATCTTATTCTGCTAAGCAATATGATATATAAAGACATTTCCTGCCCTGAAGAGCTGAAGGTAATTTTTCCTCCAATTTACACAGTGATGTGCATTCATGTTTTGCTGCCCAAATATCCAAAGCAGTGGCAAGTGGAAAAAATCCAATGTTCTAACATTTTTGACCTATAGAAATCAGAGCCATCTGTAAATTAGACAGAAAAGCTTAGAGAGCTCAGAGTGACAGTCTGATCATAAGTATCTGGAGAGGGTCAAGTCCCATGAAAAGTACTAGATCTAGCGTGTCTTCTCACCTTGAACGCCAGATGTTCCACGAAGTATCCAGCTCCATTGTTCTTCTCAGTTTCGTAACGGCTACCTACCCCAATCCACAGACCCACCTAACAAAAGGGAGATGAGCTCAATAAAGACAATTAGGAAATATAAATAACAATATACGTTAGTTTGTCACAACTGTAATATCAGGAATGTAAGGACAACCTACAGCTAGTAGCAGGACATACCGACCACAAGCATTGCAGGATTGGTACTGTTTCCTTTTTTTTTTAGGATCCATTTACATCATATATCTAGCAACTTAAGAACTATTTTCTTAATTTTATCAAAGATGTGTTAAGTAACAAATGGGTGTCATAGTTAAGTGGAAGCAAGTCTGAAAACTACTTCCATACAAATATGGGTGGGAGATCTGGGCAGAGCATGAGCGCATCAATGGACTTGAGAAATGTGTCAACTTATTCCAGAGCAAGCTGTGCCTTTTATTTCCATTTGCCCAGAGCCACGGACAGGTAAGCACAAACGGCTGAATCTACTGCTACCCTTAGTTTCAACATGAGGTGGTCTTCTTTGAAAGACCAATTCGTTACTGGAACTGACCTAACAGTGAACAAATCCAAATCCATCTTAAACTTACTGTGCATGTAGGCTGGCCAGAATCCTCAGAAGCCACACGGAGGCCATTGTCCAGAGAGGTAACGTGGGTCTCTGGAATGTTATGGAGTGCCTGAGCATAGGTAGCTGCCCCTCGATTTCTCATCAAACTTATCAAGGCTGGCTGAAGAGAAAGCCACCATTAAACAGCAACCCACACTATAACAGCTTCACACAGATTGCCAAGAGTCACATTATGTTGCAGACCGAATACACAGCCACCCACACCCCCACCCACCCACACCCCCAGCCAATATATTTTAAATAAGATGTACAAGATTCTAAGATCTCTGGGTTCATAAACTCAGGCTATGTCTAGACTGCAGGCTTCTTTCGAAAGAGGCTCTTTCGAAAGCATCTTTCGAAAGAGCCTCTTTCGAAAGATCGCGTCTAGACTGCAGGCGGATCTTTCGAAAGAGAAATCCGCTTTTTCGAAAGAGAGCACCCAGCGAGTCTGGATGCTCTCTTTCGAAGACGGCCTCTTTACATTGAAGAACGCCTTTTTTCGAAAGAGGAACTTTCGAAAGAAGGCGTTCTTCCTCATGAAATGAGGTTTACCGCCATCGAAAGAAAAGCCGCGTTCTTTCGAAATAATTTCGAAAGAACGCGGCTTGAGTCTGGACGCAGGGGAAGTTTTTTCGGGAAAAGGCTACTTTTCCCGAAAAAACCCCTGAGTCTGGACATGGCCTCAGTGTGTGTGTGTTAGGGATGTAAGCATGTGCTTAATGGGCAGTCGAATAGTGATTCGACCAGTCACTCCCCCTGCCTTGCTGCCTCTATCAGAGAGAGGCAGCAGGCGAGGGGGAGCAGGAGCCAGTGCTGGGGGGAACCGGCTTAAGAGCTTTTAAGCTGGTTCCCCCCAGCACCATCTCCACAGGTGGAGGAGGGGAGGGGACAGGAAGGCAGTGAAGTAGAGGCGCAGCAGAGAAACAGCACGAGTGGGGACTGAAGCAGTCCCTGCTTGCACAAGCCTGACTGCTGTGCCTCTTCCTTTGAAATGGGAGACGGAACCACAGGCAAGCGGGGACTGCTTGAGTCCCCGCTGCTCTTCTGCCTTTAAAATGTAGTAAGAGTCCCCCTTCACACCTTATCGACAAATCGAGTAGTCGATGGAATTTCCATCATCGACTATACAATTAGCTGATTAATTTAAATTTAACATCCCTAGTGTATGTGTGGGAGAGAACCAAACACTCATCCCACAAAGTGTGTATGTATTAAGGATGTAAGCAACTAGTCAACTATCCGATAAGCAGAGCTCGCCGAACCGCGCTGTCCGGCAATCTGCGCATGCGCAGATCGGCCAAACCTGGCTCTTCCGGGTTACAATCTACTCGCCATGGGCGAGTAGACTGTATTATTTGTCGAGCCCTGCTGATAAGCATAAGCTTATCGGATAGTTGACTAGTAATGCGACTAGTCACTTCCCCCGCCTTGCTGCCTCTATCAGAGAGAGGCAAGGGTGGGGGGAGCAGGAGCTGTTTCCCCCAGCACTGTCTCCGCAGGGGACAGGAGAGGCAGAGGCATAGCGGAAACGGCGCAAGTGGGGACTAAAGCAGTCTTTGCTCGCACCCAGTCCCGCTGTGATTCTGCTTTTGAAATATACAAGAGGCTGGGCTCTTGTACATTTCAAAGGCTCAGGTGCTGCAGGGAGCATGGGACCAGCGGGGGAGTCCCCAGTTGGCACTGCGGGGCTTCTGCTTTTGAACTGTAGCAAAACCCAGCAGAGCTCTTGCTACAGTTCAAAGACAGAGGCGCCCTTATCGACTATCGAATAGTCTATGGAAATCCCATCGACTATTTGATTAGCTAATTAATCTAAATTGAACATCCCTAGTATGTATGTATGTATATATACACATCTGTACTAAGTGTAGCACATACACACATCCTCTCCATTTTAAGAGTAACACAATGAAAGTGATACATAGATCTTGGTTCTTTCCAGCGGCTACTTACAATGTAAGAATTTACAATATAAGGAGCAGATTAAAATTCATCTGTGTCACTTCAAATTCACAGTCCTTGGTAGTGCAAATCCCATTTTTATTTGAGACCTGTTCCTTTGGTTTTAACTGAGTGTGACCATTTATTAAGGTTAAGATTTTGTCATGGTTATTTTTAGTAAAAGTCAAGGACAGGTCACAGAAACAAAAATTCACAGAAACCCCTGACCTGCCCTTAACTTTTACTAAAAATAGCTGTGACAACATGGGCATGATGGGAGGGAGAACTGCAGCTGGGGAAGGGAGGAAGAGAGATACGAAATGAGATCCCAAGCACCACTGTAAAAGAGGAGGCTCCCTCACAGCACAGCCTGAAATGCTGGAAAATTGAAACAGGCATGCAGCTACTCATGGAAGAATCAGACAAAAATGGAGTTGAGGGTGGTTTCACCAGCAGAAAAGAAGGGATAGATGGGCAACATAAAATATGGGCCAATAAGAAGGAAAGGGTGAAGAATTATGCAGATATTTGAAAACGAAGACTAAAAGTTTGACACTGAAATGAAGGAGGAGAAAGATTCTAAAGTTAAGAAATATTTTCTCTTGTTTTTTACAGTTTGTGATAAAGAGGAAATTTTCTGTAGTAGAGACCCTCATGATTAACTGAATTGCTCTTTGCGATTCCACATATTCTTGGGTGTCTCCTGTCTTGTGAGGTAAGGGGGGGGGGGCAGCACGCACAGCTCCCAGTATTTGCAAATTCAAGCTGAGGCCAGCAGCACATCCACCGTGAATAGCAAGGGTTTCCTGTACTTTGATGAGTCCTATGTACCTGTATTCCCTATATTTCACATGGCTCGACAGGTGGAGTAGGATAGATGACTATCTACTCTCAGGGTAGGTACACATTTCAGAGGTGTGAAAAATCCACACACCTAAGTGACACAGGTAAACCAACCTAACTTCCTAGAGTAGACAGCACTAACAGTCAAGGAGATGAATTAACTAATCTGATGGGAGATCCCCTCCCTGACAACATAGACAGCATCTTCACTGAAGCAGCGCAGCAGTGTTTTAAGTCTAGGCAGCAGTGTTTTAAGTCTAGGCCCTCAAAGACATAGGTGACTGCTGCCTAACTGACTGAGCTTGAATGGATCATTAAAAAGACTGGCCATCACCAACTCCATATCAATGGCAAATCCAATCACCAAGACAATGACACTCAGCAGCCAAGGACCCACACGGAGGTGGCTTTCCCCACCTCAGCAGGATAGCACAGCAAAATCCCACAGATTGTGAGCAAAGACTGGGAAGGAGTGAGGTGGGTGGGATAACAGTCAGCTGCTGGAAGGAATAGGGGATCTCAGCTGGAAATGACCAAGATGAGGTGGAGTTGAGGGTGGGGCACACAGAGCCTGAACATGGGTGTTCACTACGGTTTGGCTGGGTTCTTGGCTAACCAGAGTGGACAAACTATGCTTTAACCTTCAGTTCTCTTTGCTAACTTAAGGACTTCCAATGATGTGTTCAAGTTCAATAATAAAACTGAGCATTCTGAGTTCTGACAATGCTGTTTGGGCATCACTATAAATACCTACTAAGGTGCATTACTTCCTGAAATGCATACAAGTCTCCACTAGGGATGTAAGTGACAAGTCAACTACCCAATAAGCATAAGCTTACTGGATAGTCAAGTAGTCACTCGACTAGTCACTTCCCACCCCCTCTATCAGAGAGAGGCAGTAAGGAGGAGAAGCAGGAGCCAGTGCTGGGGGGAGCCAGCTTAAAAGCCAGTTCCTCCCAGCACTAAGAAGCATCCAGACTGCTGTGACTCCCTTTGAAATGTACAGGAGCTGCCCTTAGCTCTTGTACCTTTCAAAGGGAGAGGCACTGCAGGATAGCAAGTGCCCCGTGCCCTCCCCATTGACTAATCGAAATGTAACATCCATAGTCTCTACCAAGGGTTTCCCTCAGTTGGACTCCCTAAACAAGAGCTTACAGTATGAAGCAGGAGTGCTGAAGTCACAGAGATTCACTGTAAAGAGGCAGCATAGACTGCTCTGAAGAAGGGAGACACCCAAAGATGATATGGCACACTGAACAGATTCCTCCTGGTGATTGTTCCAAAGTTGGAGGCATAGCAGGGATCCTCTGGATCGGTGACAGTTGGTTCTGTGCATGCTGATAGTACTTTGCATTGTCTGCTACACTGGGTCACCTGAATAACTAGCTCTTGCACATGTGAATTGCACACTCAGCAAAAGGGAAACATTTTCAAAATAGGAAAACTATAAAATGATAAAGTTCCACAGGAGAACTCGGGGCAGGTTTAGCAATTCATTTACCCAATTTTAAAAACTGATTGACATTATACTGACATGATCACTGTTGAATGATCAGACCTTTGCTTCAGTGGGCTATAAGGCAAGAAATTTGTTCCCTGAAATTCCCTTCCCATCCTGGGTAAACTCCCTAATTCAAATAATTATAACACCTTCAGAATAAAGAAGGCTTTTAAAAAAAGTATCCTTGCTACATCATTATTATTCTTTTATCCATTTTCCTCCCTCAGCTACAACTTCTTAAATTTTTAGGGGCTTGTCTTCATATTTTGAAAATTTCTTTAGACTCCAAATTGGGTAGCATGATTTGAGAGTATGGAAATGAAACAGAAGGTGCAGTATTTTGCTCCTGCACAGCATCAGAAACTGCATCCATTTTAACATACACTGAATGATTTTAATCAGGAAATACTAGATGTCTGGGAGATCTCTCAGCCAGAGACCTCAGAATCTAGAGCAAAGCCTCCCTAATGTAGACAACACCCCAGCACAAGAACCTGGTGTCCTTCAACAAAACCGCTCTCCAAGCTTTTATCTCCTTCTATGCTAGCTGAATGCTGGGAGTAAGGGAACTGCTGCAGCCCCTGAAGTGGTGTCCATCCCATGCAGGGTTTACAGGTTGGTTCAATGGCTCAGCCCCCCCTCCTCAACAAATCGTTTCCGCACCTCTGGCCGGATCCCTGCCCGATGCGGGCGGAAGGGGACACGGGGCAGCAGCGGGAGAACAGAAGCTCTGTAGGTTTAGCTGCCTGCGTTGCCCGATCTAACAGAGCAAGAAACAGCAGCAGCGCGGGGGGGCAGCGGGGTCCCGTCGTGGGGGCAGCGAGGCTCTGGCACTAGGGGAGGCCGGACCCGCCCGGGCCTTGGCCCTTCCCCCGAGTCTGGCAGCGGCGCCCTCTCCCCGCGCCCCGGGCCCGGCTCCTCCGCTCCGTCCCGCGACCCCCGCCCTGGGAGAAGTCGTCGCGAACCGGTGCCCTGCAGGGGAACGGCCCCGCAG